CCTAACGGGAAGCTAAATATTAAACAAGAGAAAAAAGAGAACGAAATCTTACTATAAACATGATTATATTAATTTTATCCATTACATTAATTTGACGATGATATGAAAAACATTACTATGCGAAACAGAAAACATAAATTGCTATGCTTTCACAATAAAAAGATCCATTAAATTATTGTCAACAAAAGTTTTATATACATATATATATATATATCTATAAACCTAGCATATATATGTGCTGGGGGGGACATTTATTGTAACTCATGAATCACTTCCAACACAAAATTCAAATGTCTTGGTGGAATAATGGTACTTCTATTGCTTGAAGTAGCAAAGTCATTCACAAAGTGCTTTGCGGCAAGTCGCTTGTCCTTCTGGTTTAAATTTAAAATTCTTATTTTGGTCAAGCAATTCTATTGAGAATTCCATTTTTAATTTCTTTTTATTGAGAATTCACTATTTACAACGGTAATCACTACGGTTATGATAATGAATGTTCCCCTCACCAAAACAAAATTTTCTTACAAAATTATGGTTAATATAACTTTTTATCTCAGAAATTTGAGCCAATTTTGGTTTTAGTCTCTCAAATTTCTAACCCGTATGGTTTTAGTCTCTGAAATTTAGTCTGTTTTAAAACATTTGTCCTTGAAGATTTATTAGTATTAAAATCTGCTGAAATATCATAAACCGTATTAAAATGATGATGTGAATTCACCAAATGACAACTAGCTGGATTTTTTTTAAATAACAAAACAGTTATATAGAAAGGGATGAGTTCTCAAAACATGACCAACTCCTCAAACGAGCAAGGGAAAAAAGAGGGTTAAATTAATAATTGCATTTTGAGGACCCGTTCTTTTTTCTTTCTTATGTTACCTGCACAAAATCTAGCTATATACCATCGAGTGACTTCATATCACCACTTTAACACAGTTGACAACAATTAGCAAATGTTAACACTGTTACACTTTTAGGGACTAATGTTTGAAGACAAACTAAATTCTAGGGATTAAAACTATGGGTTTAAAATTTGAGGCCAAAAGCAACTCAAATTTCAAGAACCAAAATTTATATTAACCCAAAAATTATTATTTCAAAATTGAAAACATTCATTACCTTCTATTGAGATATGTTGCAAAACAAAATTTGACAAGCAAATTTAATACTATATACAGAATAAGGGAGTCAATTTTGCTCTTGATGGACCTGGTCTTAGAATTAGATAAGTAATTTAAGAGATTAAAAAAATTAATTAAGTTAATTAATTGTAATATATATGTGTTGATTTTTCTAAACTATCCTCTTTAATCATGTATATTGGAATAATCCTTTTGTAAGAACTCCTTACAATCAATAAGGATATTTTAAAGAAAATATTATGAATTTGAGAGATAAATTGCATTGAAGTCTTATATTTAAGACCAGATCTAATTTTTAACTTCTAACTCTTATTTAAGTCTAATTTTTAACAATAACATCCAAAGGATATATTTGCTTAACTGCTCATTTTGTTGATGAGAAATGGAATCTTCATAGCAAGATACTTGCATTCACGCACGTGGGGCCTCCACACATTGGGACAAAATTGGCTAAGAAGGTGCATGAATTATTAGTAGAATGGGGGATTGACAATAAAGTGTTTTCTGTTACTGTAAACAATGCTTCAGCAAATCATGCTATGCAAAAAGTATTAAAAGAGAGGTTGAATTTGAATAATGCCTTGAAATGCAATGGAGATTTTTTCCATGTTAGATGTTGTGCCCACATCCTAAATCTCATCATTCAAGAGGGCTTAAAGGTGGCAAGTGAAGTTGTGCACAAAATTAGAGAAAGCATTAGATATGTAAAGGCATCAGAGACTAGAACAATCAATTTGAAGAGATGTATTGACCAAGTCAAGGGTCTTGACACTTCTAGGGGTGTGGCTTTAAAGTTAGATGTTGGAACTTGATTTGTCCTTAGTCGTATAGGCAATCAAAAATAATAAAGAAAGAGTATGCAGTATACTGATGCAACCTCAGTGTCGAATCACTTGGTCTAATAACTCTCTCACTTTCTAAGTAAAATTAACACAATTTACTTGTAGAACATATAGCAGAAGAAACACATTCAGATCAATACAAGAAAAATTCTTTGTTGACTTTCAGGTGCAGTGTTAAAATGAGGATGAATGTAAATGCAAGCGGTATGATGGAACTCAAGAAAAATACAATCAGAATATCAATTCCCCCAAGAGTTTCACTTCATCTTCATTGCCTTAATCTGATCTGGAGCTAAATGTACTGAACGAGCAAAGGACTCAACATTCTTAATCAAATAGAACTTCTATTCAAATGAATCAATTAATCAGACCACAATATTTAGTTTCACTGAACTGTAATAAGGATCTAATTAACTACTAATTCAAGAATGGACTACCGAGTCTTTACGGCGTTCAATTACATAGCATTCATCTAATCATCTAAAACAGAATACAACTGAATTCTCTCCTAAATACTCCACGACTAGCAGAGCAATTGAAAGAGATAGATGAAAACAACTCCCTTCTCAATCCAGTAGCTCGGATTTAGTTCTACTCTTGGAAGAATTTGTGGATTTAGCTACGCATGATAGTGATTGCCTCCTCTTTGATGTTCGAATGTAGTATCTCCATGGAAGCTTTCAAGTTCGGCGATTTCCACTCCAGAGGATACCGATCAGTTGGAAGAATAGGAGCTCAATTTCCACTTGCTGACTTCCGGAAAAACAACCACTCTTCGATCTTGTCTCTAGAATATATATATCTCTTCTCTGCCCCATAAAGAACTCTTTTTCTGTTATTCCGTTTTGTTCTTCCGTTCCGTCTTAGCTGGCATGGAGTGATTACTTCAATTCATTTTCGTTTTCCCGCAATTATAGTTCAGCTCCTTCGGTGGAATTCCCTTTCCTTTAGTGATGGAAATTAGTTTCTATTAGTGATGGAATTTCATCTCCTTTGAACTCCCTTTTCCTTTCTTCTGGGAAAAATGTTTCTGTCATTCCAAAATTACAATTCTGCCCCTGAATTCAAAATATTAAGACAGAAGTAATATCCAATAGTGAAATTTAATGAGAAGAATTATTAAAATATCACAACTGCTTAATTCTTTCACTCAAGTGCATCAACAATTTATTTGTTTACTAATGGAATTAAAGTTCAATCTACTTCTTAAAATAGCCTAAAATATATATCCCAAGTATATAAAAATATGATTTATCAAATTCCCCCACACTTAAGTTCTGGCACTCCTGGGACAGAATAACAGATTGAAGCTGAATTTTAAACACATTATAAATGAATGATGCTAAATCATGTTCGAAGAAATGAAGTACTTGAAGTCATCGACCACTTCCTTCAAAGGTCATCAATGAATAACACTCACATGCTAAAAGATCAATTCACAATCATGCAGCTTAGCCAAGGACAGTAAATAGAAGATAAGGTTTCTCTCAAGGTAGAGTGTTTCCCTCATTCTCGAAGATCAAGGTTATTTCTCTCAAGACCATCTAGCTTAGGCTTCACCATAAGCTTGTAACTACCCTACATCTCCACCACTTATTTGCTACAAGGTCTTGTGAATCAAAGGGTCTTTGCAAGGGTTGTAATGTTGGAAAAGCCAAATGATGGAAATGGAAATAAATGCCAATGATTAATAGAATACTGCACACGCATCATGGTTCTATCTAAGGCTCAGAGTCTTTTTGCACAAATCAGATTTTGTTATTCAATACAACTAAATGAATATAACAATTAATATGAAAGGACTCATTTACTCTTGCCACTCGATCAACCTTTTATTTCTCCATTTTTTTTTATATTCTGTTTTTTGTTTTTTTTTTTGTTTTTTTTTTCAGGATCCTTTCTTTTTCCTCTGTTTTTTTTCCTCTATATATATATATATATTTTTCTATATGGTAGCAATCCAGTAGCAAGAGTAAAAGGGATCATAATCAGTCCCTGTTATGCACAGATCATTATCAACGAATATACAACCATTAAAAGGAAAGCAACCAACTCAGATTCAATTCAGCTATGTGCAGCGTTCATCAATTATGGATGAAATTGAGAGAATAGTGAAGGGCTCAAAGGGTTAAGCAATGGATTGGTTTAAGTAGGCTGCTGTTTGGTCAGAAGGATTTTGAATGAAATACCCTTATCATCTTCATAATTCCAGGAGCTCATGTGGTCTTGAATTAAGGGTTGAGACAAGTTCTAGGAAGTTACCGAACTAGATGGTATCACACAAAATTTAGGAATGAATTAAGGCTCAAAATTCTCACAACTGGTTTACTCATCCTTATTCACTTGCCCTAAACAGATTGCATGAGGATTTGGACTTAATGCATGAGAGGAGTTATTTATGATACACACTTTCCGGAAATAGGCTGATTTAGCAAGGACTTCACACTTGAACAAGTTTTAACATTATTCAAAGAAATGCACTCAAAGCTCAACTAAATTTCATGACAGAATGACAAACAAGTAAGCAGCCTTCCAGCTCACTACAAAGTCAAGTCACTACAGCAAGGATTTAATCAGTTCCACAGAAGACCGAAATTGATAAATCCCTGACTACTTGACAGAAATTAAAGACTAACAGCTCAAATCAGATTCATTCCCAGAGTCAAATTGCTAGGCAAGGAAAGAATCAAAGATTAAACTCCCCCACACTTAAAACAGACATTGTCCTCAATGTACTACAAAAGGAAGAGAGCACATTCACTGTTGCGAAACAGAATTGAACTGAGGAGAGTGTGTGCTTCCATATGTGTGATTTAGTGTCCAGCAGCAGGCAAGGGAAAAGTAATAAAAAAAAAAAACAGCACCAGAACTCTATTGTGCTCTCTTCTTTTTTTTTTTTTTTTTTTAGAAATCCTCAATTCCCCCCACACTTAAGTTCTGTAATGGAAAAACACAGTGATACTAATGGCCGTGCAAAATTAGAAAGGGGAGGGAGAAGAGAGGACAACCAATCTGATTATGGTGGCTTGTCATTGGCATGATAATGCTTCAGCAAGTGTCCATTGACCTTGTGAATATGTCCAGTTTGCTCATCCAGAATCTCTATCATTCCAAAATTATGGGCTTTGAGCACCACAAATGGTCCATCCCATCTTGTATGGAGTTTCCCTTGTTTGAAAGTAAATCTTGCCTTGTAAAGAAGTACCTTGTCTCCTTCCTGAAAAACCTTTCTCAAAATTCTTTTGTCATGCAAAATTTTAGTTCTTTCTTTATACAAACGGGAATTCTCATAAGCTTCTAAACGCAACTCTTCTAATTCCTGAATTTGCAATTTTCTTTCCTCATCTGTAGCTTCTAAGTTCATATTACAAGCTTTTACCGCCCAATAAGCTTTATGTTCAATTTCAACAGGTAAATGACAAGCCTTTCCATAGATTATTCTGAATGGAGACATACCAATAGGAGTTTTATAAGCTGTCCTATAAGCCCACAAAGATTCATCTAATCTAAGACTCCAATCTTTCCTATTTGGTTTAACAATTTTCTGTAAAATACCTTGAATTTCCCTATTGGATACCTCGGCTGCACCATTTGTTTGTGGATGATAAGGTGTTGCCATCTTGTGCGTGACTCCATACTTGGACAGCAATGTCTCCATAAGTTTGTTTGCAAAGTGAGTGCCACGGTCACTAACCAAAGCTCTAGGAATCCCAAATCTGCAAAATATATTAGATTTCAGAAACTTCACTACTGTTTGAGCATCATTTTTCCTAGTAGCTACAGCTTCAATCCAACGGGACAAATAATCAACAGCTAGCAAAATATAGGAAAAACCATGTGATGGGGGGAATGGACCCATGAAATCAATGCCCCAAACATCAAAAATTTCACAAAATAACATGGGTTGTTGAGGCATTTCTTGTTTTTTAGATATCCCACCAAATTTCTGACATTTATCACAATTTTTACAAAATTCATAAGCATCTCTGAACAAAGAAGGCCAATAAAAACCAGAATCCAAAATTTTTCTTGAAGTTTTTCTTGCACTAAAATGACCACCACATGACAAAGAATGAGAAAATTCTAATATGGAAGGAATATCCTCATCTGCAACACATTTCCGAATCAATTGATCACTGCACAATCTCCACAAATGTGGAGCATCCCATACATAATATTTTGCTTCTCTTTTCAATTTCTGGACCTGAAATTGATTCATGAATGGGGGAACCACATCAGCCACTAAATAATTGACTAAATTTGAAAACCATGGCTCTTTAACAGTGATAGCACAAAGCATATGATCAGGAAATGCATCACAAATCAAATCTGAATCATCCATCCCTTTCGAATTATTAGGCAACCTACTCAAATGATCAGCAACTAAGTTCTCTGCCCCTGCCCTATCTTTTATTTCAACATCAAATTCTTGTATTAATAGCATCCATCTAAGTAACCTAGGCTTTGATTGGGGCTTTTTGAACAAGAATCTTACAGCAGCATGATCAGTGAAAATAACAACTTTAGAATGCAATAGGTATTGCCTAAATTTGTCCAGACCAAAAACTATGGCATATAATTCTTTTTCGGTGGTGGTATAGTTGGTTTGTGACTTATCTAATGTCTTAGATGCATATGCAATAACTCTTGATAGTCTTTCTACCCTTTGTCCCAGCATCACCCCCACAGTAGAATTGGAGGCATCACAAGATAATTCAAAGTCTAAGTTCCAATCAGGAGATGTTAAGATTGGTGGAGACACAAGCTTGGCTTTCAATTCGTCAAAAGCAGTCCTGCAACACTTATCAAAGACAAAATCAGCATCCTTTTGCAGTAATTGAGAAAGAGGTAAAGCAATTTGACTAAAATTCTTTATGAAGCGCTTATAGAACCCAGCATGACCCAAGAATGACCTTAATTCTTTTAATGTAGTTGGATAAGGTAATGAAGAAATCACTTCTATCTTTGCCTTATCAACTTCGATTCCTTGCTGTGATATCAAATGCCCCAAAACTATCCCCTTGTCTACCATGAAATGGACTTCTCAAAATTAAGAATCAGATTCTTTTCTACACATTTAGCTAAAGCTTTTTCCAAAGTTAGTAAACAGTCATCAAAACAGTCCCCATACAAGGTAAAATCATCCATGAATACTTCAACACCTTGTTCTAAAAGCTCACTAAAGATAGAAGTCATACACCTTTGAAAAGTTGCAGGAGCATTGCATAATCCAAATGGCATTCTTCGGTATGCAAAGGTCCCAAAGGGGCAAGTGAAGGTTGTTTTGTATTGGTCTTCTGGTGCTATAGGAACCTGAAAGTATCCACTAAATCCATCCAAGAAGCAGTAATGAGATTTACAAGCCAATCTTTCCAACATTTGGTCTATAAAAGGGAGTGGAAAATGATCTTTTCTTGTAGAATCATTTAATTTTTCTATAATCAATACAAACCCTCCAAGAATTTTGGACCCTAGTTGGAATTAATTCATCTTTCTCATTCTTTACAACCGTGATGCCACTCTTTTTAGGAACAACTTGGACAGGTGAAACCCATTCACTATCACTAATTGGAAAAATAATACCAGCACTTAGCAATTTGGTTATTTCTTTTTTTACCACATCCAACATTAAGGGATTAAGTCTCCTTTGTGGCTGTCTTATAGCTCTAGAATTCTCATGTAATAATATCCTATGTGTGCATACTGTTGGGTTTATTCCAGGTATGTCAGCCAAAGTCCATCCAATTGCTCTTTTGTATTTCTTAAGAACAGAAATCAGTTTTGTTTCCTCAAGTTCAGTCAAAGAATTAGCTACTATTACTGGTAGCTTTTCATTTGCTTCTAAGAAAACATATTTCAGATTGTGGGGTAATGGTTTTAATTCAACATCAGGGGGTTGTTCAATGGAAGGAATAAGCTGTTTAAGTTCAAGGGCACCGAGAAACTTCCCTGTTGTTTCAGTTTCATCATATCTGGATTGATATGCTCTTCACTATCCATAGATATATTCCCATATTGAGTCAGATTCAGTGCTGCATCTTTCTGTGTGGTAATTCCTGCATCAATAACAGCACAAGACTTAGGTGAGGAAGTGTTTAATTTCGGTGAAAAGAAATCAGTCAATGTAGTTTGTCTCAAATTACTCCCCTTCTTGGTAATAAGGTTAGTTTGCATTGGTGATGCAGAATTTGTGCATTGCGTTCTACTTTTGCTTCTGAATTCCTTGAGTCGAAATGTTGCACTTGCTGTCTCAACCTCTGAAATTGATGTGCGGAAGGTATAGCCATGTCACAACATTGTGCACCTGCACTTGGGGATTCAGATCTAATTATTGTACAATTTTCCAGCAAGCTATCAGATGCACTTGTGCAGCTTTGAAATACTTCTTCACTTCCGAATGTAGAGTCATTGTCAAACAAACCCTGTAATTCTGTAAAACTACACAAAATATCCTTCCCAAGTGCGTTATATTCAGAAAATGAAGGAATAGAACTATCATTCGATTCTGAAAAATAGAAGTGAAATGCATTAGAGGTGGAAAGTGAGCTATCAAATGTCAAGCATCTAATACTACACACATCACTCTCTAAGCCATGAGAGAAGATAGAATTCAAAGGGTAAGGGCAGAATCAAATGGACAAACATTGCATTCTTCTTCTTCATTTTCAGCATATTTATGTAAAGTCATTCCATGTTCTTCAATGGCACAATCAATGGCAGTATCAATCATATTTAACCCCAATAAGGAATAATCTTCAAATGGATGTTTCATGGCCTCATAAACATTAAACTTGACAACCTGATCACCAACTTCCATTGTAATAAAACCATCTTTTAAGCTAATCACAGTATTTGCAGTCCTCAAAAATGGTCTTCCCAATATCAAAGGTTCTTCAAGGCAAGACTCATTTGACATGTCTAAGACATAAAAATCTGCTGGATTACAAGACCCTTGACCTTGACTAAGATGTCTTCTAAAAATCCATAAGGTTTCCTAGTACTCCTATTAGCCAATTGAAGTATTACACTGGTAGTTTTGATGTTTGTGATCCCTAATGAATTATAAATTGAATGAGGCATCACATTAATGGCAGCACCCAGATCCAAAAGTGCACTACTAAAATTCAATTTCCTATTTGGCATGGGACTGTAAAGGAGCCAGGATGGCACATTTGATAGGTGATTGAGGCTTGAATAATGCTGAAACATTAGAACCTAGTTGGACTCTTTTATTGGGTCTGCAAATCCTTTTATGTGTGCATAATTCCTTCAGAAACTTAGCATAACTAGGCATTTGTTTAATTAACACCAACATAGGCACATTAACCTCTAGTTTGCTAAACAGATCCATCATTTCTTTTTCCAGCATTTCATTTTTCTTTTTCTTGCCTAACAGATAAGATTTAGGAAATGGTAAATCCTTCAAGTCAAAGTTCTTACCTGAATCTCCAGCTTCTTTTCCTGTACTCGGTATCTTACATTCACTGGAATTCAATTTATCAGCTTCCAGATGCTGAGCAGTTGCAGAACACCCAAAATCGTTACTGGTGGAATCATGCTCTATAGATGCTGTCCGGTCTTTCCATCCACTGTCTGATTTTCGTTCAGATTGCTCTTTGAGTGTAGCTGCCTCTGATTCTTGATTATTTGAGGCATTTGTCTTCAATATAACCTTACGTGTGCCCTTCTGGTCCTCCAAGTGGTTATTTTGCAGAGAAATTTCTTCATCTTCCTCAACATTCCCAATTTTCTTCCCACTTCTCAAAGTTATAGCATGCAGTGCTTTAGGATTGATGACAGTATTTGAAGGTAAAGTGCCTCCCATTTGAGCTTGTTGATTACTCATGCTATTGGATAGTTGTGTAACATAAGAGGAAAGATTGGAATTCTTCATCTTGACTTCTTCCAAATCCTTGCAAATAGACGTGAGCTGGGAATTTATGGTTGCTCTATCACTGTCCATTTTTGCAGTACTGATGTCAGTGAAGAATTGTAGAAATTTTTGTCTTCCTTCTTTGATTCAGTAGAGATTGCTTGTCTACAACCATTTGGTTGTTCAACTGTGTCATCAAGTCCTTCAAGAGTGAATTAGTGTCTTCATTCTTGCTAGAATTATCTTGAATAGGTACAAGCATTTTGGATGGTTCAACTAGATTCTGATTTGGGGTCTGAAACTGTGATGGTCCAGCATTGTTGGATAAAAACTTATTATTAAAGTTCCTATTGTCACCACCCCCCACCGTAAATTAGGATGGTCCCTCCATCCTTCATTGTATGTGGCAGAAAATGGGTCTCTTTTTTGGTACTGGTTAGGCTTGCTTTGGTAAAAAGCATTAACTTCTTCAAATTTGGAAGGACAAACAGCAGGAAGATGCATAGAAGATCCACAATAGTCACAAGAAGGAGCTACAATTTGATTACATGGTGCCATTGGTCGAGAAGGAGTATGATGAAGAGTAGAGATTTCAGTTTTCAAACTCTCCATTTGTGCCACTAGACGCTGCAAAACAGAATCAGAAGTATGTCCATTACTCACTTCTCCTACATCATATATGTCTCTTGAACTAAATTGCTGATTGTTTCTGGCCATTTTTTCAAGAAGATCCCATCCAGTTGTTGGTGTTAGATCTAAAATAGATCCATTGGCAGCAGCATCAGTTGTAGCTTTTGTTTGTGGAAGCATGCCTTCATAAAAATATTGGACCAACCATTGTTTTGGTATTTGGTGGTGAGGGCAGTGAGTTAACATTCCCACAAATCTAGACCAGTAATCATACAAAGATTCTCCTTTATTCTGTCTAACACTATAAATCTCCTTCAAAGTTGCTGTTCTGGATGCTGGAAAATATCTTTCCAAAAATAACTTTTGTAATTGGGACCATGTGAGCATAGCATAATGTTGGGGAAGAGACCTTAACCACTCCTTAGCATCACCCAGAACTGAAAAATGAAATGCTTTCTTCAGCACCTCTTCAATTGATACGGTGGGTGGCTTGAAGGAAGAACATGCCATATACAAGTCTTGTAAATGTTGATGTGGATCATCCCCTGCATGACCATAGAATTTAGGAATTGCATTCAGCAGAGAACTTTTAATTTCAAAATTACAGAATTATTCCACAGACCATACGGATCATAATCAACAGCAGAATTATTCAACTCCCTAATACTTCTATTTTCAGCTTCAGGATTAACATTTAAATGCTCAGGCCTGTTTTCAGCTTCCTGTTCTTGATTGGCATTATTAGGATCATTAGGCCTAGGATTATTGGAATCAAGATGTGGATTCATGATAAAATGTTGATCTACAAAATGTCCTAAAGAGGATTCTATATCAGATATGTGCGTTGGAATAGAGCTGGCTGAATCAATAGATGAAGGTGTAAGAGGAGCAGGTGAGGTTTCTGGTGGAGCAATGGTTGGCTGAAGCTGTTTGGCTTTTTTCAGATTTCTTAAGGTTCTATTAATTTCTATATCCAGGGGGTAAAATTCAGCAAAGTCATGGCTCATACAAGAGTATTTTATTCAGATGGAAACAAGATAATGACAGCAAATTGGGATTGTCAATAGAAAACTAGAACAGAATAGAGTAACAATGAATATTCAGGAGTTAAAAGGCTGGCAACGGCGCCATTTGATTTGTCCTTAGTCGTATAGGCAATAAAAAATAATAAAGAAAGAGTATGCAGTATACTGATGCAACCTCAGTGTCGAATCACTTGGTCTAATAACTCTCTCACTTTCTAAGTAAAATTAACACAATTTACTTGTAGAACATATAGCAGAAGAAACACATTCAGATCAATACAAGAAAAATTCTTTGTTGACTTTCAGGTGCAGTGTTAAAATGAGAATGAATGTAAATGCAAGCGGTATGATGGAACTCAAGAAAAATACAATCAGAATATCAATTCCCCCAAGAGTTTCACTTCATCTTCATTGCCTTAATCTGATCTGGAGCTAAATGTACTGAACGAGCAAAGGACTCAACATTCTTAATCAAATAGAACTTCTATTCAAATGAATCAATTAATCAGACCACAATATTTAGTTTCACTGAACTGTAATAAGGATCTAATTAACTACTAATTCAAGAATGGACTACCGAGTCTTTACGGCGTTCAATTACATAGCATTCATCTAATCATCTAAAACAGAATACAACTGAATTCTCTCCTAAATACTCCACAACTAGCAGAGCAATTGAAAGAGATAGATGAAAACAACTCCCTTCTCAATCCAGTAGCTCGGATTTAGTTCTACTCTTGGAAGAATTTGTGGATTTAGCTACGCATGATAGTCATTGCCTCCTCTTTGATGTTCGAATGTAGTATCTCCATGGAAGCTTTCAAGTTCGGTGATTTCCACTCCAGAGGATACCGATCAGTTGGAAGAATAGGAGCTCAATTTCCACTTGCTGACTTCCGGAAAAACAACCACTCTTCGATTTTCTGTCTCCAGAATATATATATATCTCTTCTCTGCCCCGTAAAGAACTCTTTTTCTGTTATTCCGTTTTGTTCTTCCGTTCCGTCTTAGCTGGCATGGAGTGATTACTTCAATTCATTTTCGTTTTCCCGCAATTATAATTCAGCTCCTTCGGTGGAATTCCCTTTCCTTTAGTGATGGAAATTAGTTTCCATTAGTGATGGAATTTCATCTCCTTTGAACTCCCTTTTCCTTTCTTCTGGGAAAAATGTTTCTGTCATTCCAAAATTACAATTCTGCCCCTGAATTCAAAATATTAAGACAGAAGTAATATCCAATAGTGAAATTTAATGAGAAGAATTATTAAAATATCACAACTGCTTAATTCTTTCACTCAAGTGCATCAACAATTTTTGTTTACTAATGGAATTAAAGTTCAATCTACTTCTTAAAATAGCCTAAAATATATATCCCAAGTATATAAAAATATGATTTATCAGAACTAGATGGAATTCCACATATGCTTCAAAGTGTGATTAAATATCATCCTGCATTTGCCAACTTAGATTTCAATGACACCCATTATCATCTTTGTCCAACAAGTGAAATTAAAAGTGGTCTAGAGCCGAGGAGATGTGCAAATTCTTGAGTCTATTTGTAGCAATAATGAGGTTAATTTCTAGGTCATCATATCCAAGTTCTAACATGTATTTCATGCATATCTAAAAAATTGAATCATTGTAAAGAAAACATGTGTTTAATGGTAGTTATTAAAGATATAGCTATGAGGATGGTTGACAAGTTTGACAAGTATTGGAATGAATATAATTATGATGTTATACTTGCACTTGCAATTATTCTTGATCCCCGGATGAAGTTTGACATCATAAAGTTTACTTATACACAACTTGATCTTATAAATTATAGTGACAAGATTCAAAGCATTAGGACGAAATTATACTATATTTCCAATGAGTATAAAAGTATGGGATCATCATCTTCAGTTTCTATCGGAGGTGGAGATGAATCAAGTTGTAGTAATGTCAATGTCTTGGGACCAACATCATCTTCTAGCCAGTCTACTCATGTTGCAGGACATACAGATGATAATGACCATTTCTTTGTTGCTTTTGGTGTAAGTTTTAAATTTTCCATTTTTTAAATGTCTTATACTAATGTCAATTTGATTAACATTTTATTGATGCTTTATTTATATCATATAGGATTATCTTAGTGGCCATATCAATGATTGTCAAAAATAGAAAAATCTAAGCTTAATTTCTATTTGGAAGAAGCAAGACTTAATCCTCGTGTGTTTCGTAAATTGAATGTATTGGGGTATCAGAGGACTAACTCAACTTGATTTCCTTGTCTTTAAAAGATGGCATGTGATATTCTTAGTATATCAATCATTACAGTGGCTAATAAATCAACTTTTAGCATTGGTTCACGAGTTTTCACAAAGTATCGAAGTTTCCTTCTCTAAGAAAATAATCAAGCCCTTATCTGCAACCGTAATTGGATTTTGGATTTTCCATCTAGTAATATAATTATATTTATTCATTTATATGTAATAGGAATAGTTTGCGTTATTTTAATTTTTTTTAATTATTTGTGGCAGATGAATCTGAGCAGAAGGAAGGTGTTGCTGCTACTATTGTCAAAGTCAACATTGAACTAGCTTCAAACAATGCTTCCACTTTAAATGTCATTACTATTAGAGATAATTAGATCAAGATGGTTATTCATTGTTGCATGTTGATTTCATTGGAAAAAAATTATGTTTGAATTGTGTTTTATCATATTTGGACAATCATATAAGTTGTTTGTATTTTAATGTGTTGTAATTTTGTTTGAATGTTCGTAATATTTTAAATTATTTGTATTGTCTTAATTTTTGATTATTTATAACTTAGTGCTAACATTAAAAAAAATGAAAAAAGGGTATATAATTCTGACTGGTTGGTGGTCGATTAGGGTTAGTTGAAAGCCAACCTGTTAGTAAACGGGCCTTTTCAACCTACACTGAATAACCTATAACCCGTCATTAGCCAATTCGCAGGTATTACCAGTACTACTGGAGGCTCTTGGGATGAGATAGGATCATGGGGCTCGAGATTCTTTTTATGAGCACAGTTTATAGTTTGAGATAGGATCATGGGGCTCGAGATTCTTTTTATGAGCACAGTTTATAGTTCGTAATAATTACAAATCAAATAAACAACTTATATTAATATGAATGAACGAAAAATGACCGAAACCAAGAATTATTAATTAAAAATAGTAAATAAGAAAAGTAATTACTAATTAATTTAATAATTAATAATTCAATATTTTTAATTACAGATCACAAATTCATAATATTTAAATAGTTAATAAAGAAATATAATAAACAAATTAAAAAATATTAAATATAATAATTAATTGAGATAAATTAATAACCAACGATACAACTCAATAGCTAATTAATTAAACCAATATTTAATTACTACGGTCTAATGCATTGGCTGCCACTTTATGCTCTAACCACTTCGATCTTTCCAAACCCATAGACAAATTAATTGTGAGATATTCAAAACGTATGAAACAATAATAAACAACTCACAAATTGACCACTTCTCTCCGTTCATTTCTGTAGACACAAACAAGCATATCTGAGAGAAGTTGCTCAACCACATCATATCCCAGTGGTAAAGCAAAACCATGCTACCAGTAGAAATGTTGCACTGCAGTTTTTTTGTGAAAACTCGGAGGCATATGCTTACGATATCATTTTCAAATTTTATGCCTTTTTAACTTGTTCTTACTTTTGGCAATTTATCATATCCTTCTAACTTGTTTTGAAAGTCCTGAGATCTCTTTCTATTGGGATACATGGATGAGTGTTCTACATGCACATTGATAATAAAAGGATTCAAAAGTTTTACAAAATACATTCAGTAAAAGTAAAAGCTATATATACTTGGCAACCCAACGTACATATTCATGACTCTAAATTCAAATGCCTTGCAGGAATAATAGTACTTGTACTGGTTGAAGCAGTCAAATCAACCAGAGTTGGAGGCACCTTTAGTTTATCTACTTCTCCTTCCAACATCTGTACCACTGTTTTCATGGATGGACGATTTATTGATTGCCACTGAATGCACCAAAGTCCTACAATTGCCAGTTTTTTAGCAATTCTAATCTTCTATAGAAATACTCATGTTTTCTCCTTTGATCAAATTATGAATCCATTCTGGATATAGAACTTGAAAAGTTTCTTTGTTTGTATCAACATTTTTCCTTCCACTGATCATTTCCAAGAGTAGCATCCCATAACTATAAATATCTGATTTGTATGACACATGGCCAAAATTTGGAAAAAAGACTTCAGGTGCAATATATCCTAAAGTTCCTCTTGCTATTGTCATTGACACCATGCTTTGATTTTTAGAACACAATTTAGCTAGACCAAAATCAGAAATTTTAGGGGTGAACTCGTCATCTAACAACACATTGTGAGGATTGATATCAAAATGGAGAATTCTATAATCACAGCCTTGGTGAAGATATTCAATCCCTTTTGCGATGCCAAGAGCAATCTGTTGCAGCTTCGACCACCCGAGGAAATTTTCTCTGTTATCTTGGGAAAATATGAACTTTTGGAGGGAGCCTTTTGGGAAAAAGTCATAAACAAGAGCTCGATGAAAACCATCAGCACAAAATCCCACAAACGAACAACATTGACGTGATGAATTTGGCCCATTGTCCCCATTTCGTTAATGAAATCTTGTCCATCATTATCTGAATTATTGAGTACTTTGACAGCAACTTGAATTTTAGCAGATAGCTTACCTTTAAAGACTGTTCCGTGAGAACCTTCACCTAATTTATCCTTGAAACTGTGTGTGGTTCTTTTGATATCAGCGAAAGAGAATCTGGTAGGTTTAAGTGCCTCGTAATTCTTCAAAAACTTTTCAAGTCTTGCTTGATCATCTCCTTTCTTCTTGAAGTAGCGACATGTGTAAACGCACACGACCGACAGCAAAACCAGCACAATCGAACCTAGAGTTATGCGAGCACAGCAAATGAACATTCTATTTCAATCCAAGCCAGAATCTAATGAATTATATTTTTAGGGGGGAAAAAAATGGAAAAGGAAAAGCCTATTAAGGTCTCACCTGTTCCGGGCAAAACAATTCTGAGCATCTTGCTGGTTTTATGCTTTTCAATTTTTGAGTGGTCGAGTTCCTCCGAAAAGACGCTGCCGGTATGGGCGAATCTAACCGAAAACATAATGCAGGAAAGTAGGTCCCCGGACAGGACACTGTCATCAGAGCCAAGGGCAAGAATTGGGCAGGACTCGCGCGTATATCTCGAAACAGCCGAAGAACAATTGAAGAAAGTAATATTTTCGGTCATATTGTCAGTATCATACTCTAGAGGATAAATACTTGATGAATTGTAGAGACGGCGTCGGAGAAAGAGCATGGGAAGACATTCCTCTGGATCATTTACTTTAAGTGGATATGGGATTCATTGCTTATATAATCGACAAGGAAACTGACTCCTTGAAGAGCAGGAATAGACGGAAACTCAACCATGGTCCCATTTTCATTGAGACGGAATGGAAGAGTCTCAGTATGAGGCACCTGCTGGTGGTTCTCACCATTCCCTTGTTTCAGAAGGCGCACCCATACATGCAATATCACCAACAACCAAAATCTGCGATGGGAAAACATTGTAACCAAAGGATTTCCTTTTGAATCTGAAGCTTGGATTGAGATTCCTATCTACCTATTTGAATAGGAGTAATTGTTAGGAGACACGTCGTATATCTCATTCAAATGGAAGCAGGGGAAGTAGGATGCAACTTCGAAGGTGTGTGGACCCAAATTGTTTGCCGTGGCCTTTGGGGCTCCTTACTGAAAGCTACAGCTTCGGATTGACCCGAGATTTCTTTTTATTTAATTATCAATCTCTTTTAAATTTCCAGAAAAAATTATTGAATTTGCATTTCCTAATCTGAGGGAAAATGGAGGAACATAACAGTTAGTCATATCGTCCCACTTAAATCATACAGCAGGCGAAGGAAGATAGAAGGAAATATCATCAATATTCAGAGAGAAAGCCGGTCAAAGGAATTGTAAAGAGAAGTCACTAGTCAAAAAGTGAAGTCAACTTTGGACCAAACTAGTGACTACAAGTTAGCCGCGTGGAACTGGAAATGGAAAAGGCAGATGGAGCTGCGTTTAATCAGAAGGAAAGTAAGTGATTGAAGCTCAGAATCAAGAGGTAGAGCAGCTGCACATCATTCTGAAGTCTGAATGATGGACAGGGAGAAAGGCTTGAGGTGTTGGCACCCGTTGTTGGTTACCCTGCTTCTACTGTACGGACTTACGAATTCTCAAGAGCACACCGAGTTCTGCGCTCCGTCTCGGTGCGGCAACATCACAAACATCGGACGTCCATTTCGACTACCAGATGACCCGCCTAACTGCGGCGATCGGATCTACGAGCTAGTCTGTGATGACAACGTCACTTACCTTAGTTTACCTGATGGAAAATACCGGGTGCTGGGAATAAACTACGACAACTACACAATCCGACTCTTAGATGAAGGCATTCAGGAGGGTACTACCTCCTCCCTCCCTCTCTATCCCTTATCCATGTACGATTTCTCCTCTTTCGTGTCTCCTTACGGGTATTATGAAGATAGCAGGAATCCCTATATCGCTAGTACCCTAAACAGCAACGGAACTGAATCTATATTAACGAGATGGTGGGGTACCTGAACTGCAGCGATGCAGTGAGGGACGACGCAGCGTACGTGGATACGGCTCCGTGCGTGAATTGGCAAGGAGGCCATCTTTATGCTGTGGCTGGAGACTTGCTGGCTTCCCAGTTTAAACCTCAGTGTCGTCTGATATCGGTGACTTTCATTGCCTCAGATTGGGAGTCATTGGTGCCTGGTGGAAATAAGTCGTGTGCTGATATTCACAAGGTGCTTTCCTATGGATTTGAGCTTTCATGGCGGCGACGAGCCTGTGCTGATCTTCATTGTCCACATGGCACCATCTGCTCTTTCAGCCCTGAAAATAAACGTCTGCAATGTCTATCTTATTCTTGGCCACATACTCCGGAATGCCTTACCCCCTTCGGAATATTTTCCAATTGCCGTAAGTATCCGTTTCTATTTCAATAAGATTATTGGATCCTATCTTCTTCGCTTTGCCCTAAATGATCAAATTGGTGGTAGATGTTGAACTCTCAAACATCAGCCACTTAATAATAGGATACCAACAAATACTTTTAAATTGATCCAAGGTCTTGTAAATATATAAGTTTTTATTTATTAATTGAAAGATTGCATTATTTGTAACTAAAAATCTCAAGTTCACAATTTATTCTTTTTAAAAAAATTGTTTAGATT